ATGGCACGAGTCTCTCTGATTCACATTTTTGCTCTACATTGGATTCCTGGAATAATGTTTTACACTTGAATGGACCTATTATTATAAAGATAAATATGTTGACCATTTAAGCATATTGTCATTGTAAGCAAGAATCTGATAAAGGAAAAGACGATTAAGCCAACATCCAAAGCAGCAAATGTAAATTAAGCAAATTCAATCCGATCAAGTGAAATAAGGTGATCAGAAGGGATTCACGTTAAAGGGTCAAAATAACCAAAAGCTTTGAAAGAGATAAACTGATTTAATTTAAAGGTCAATATACGCAATCCAAATTTACAGATAATAATAATAATAACTTAATAACTTTGAATGTTGAGGATTGATTTGTATTGAAGAGTGAATATTTGGGAAACTTACATTATTTCCTTCCAAATCGAAATGAGTGAAATTCAATGTTATCCTGAATTGTGGTGGAGCAACAATTTCTCAGATGCAATTCTTGTTGGGTGGATAAAGATCAGGAAATGATGGACTGACCAGAGTTCCATTGAATAGTTCAATTAAACCACCGCAAGCATTTTCACACTTTTTCCCATCTGAGTGAAGCTCGTATCCAATGCGACACTCACATCGATAACCGCCTAATGTGTTAACACAAATATGGTCACATCCATGGTTACCTGAGGAACATTCGTCGAACTCTTTGATAAAATTGGCTGAAAAACCAGCCTTTTGGACGGACGAATCAGATACAAATTTGATTAAAAGTTTATTGCTTGTCGATCTTATATCATTTGGAATTCTGTGTCCACAAAATTTACCCAAAATGGGTGAGTTTGATAATGAATGTCCATCTCGTATCTCAAGGTAATCATAGACACAGTTGTCATGAGATTCAATCTCAAAAGAGGAAAATTTAAGGGCAACTTGATATTTCTCTGGAACAATTATCTTCCAAATGCACTCCTTGTTGGGTCGATAGTCTTCAGGATAATTGGGACTTTGAAGAGTTCCTTCTTCACTAACAATATCACCACCACAAATCGCTGAAAAACACAAAAAAACAAAAAAATAAAGATAAATATACAACTGTAAACTTATCAAATTGATTGAAAAAGAAATATTAGAAAGTCGAAAAAAAATCAGAAATCTTTCATAAGGTCCAAGCTTCAAGATATCAATCCATCAGACTATTCGGAGCAAAGGAAACTATTTGTTCAACATCAAAAGATCAATCTCAAGACAATGGTCTTTCTAATTCAATATGCAATCGAAGCAATAGTTCATGCAAATCAACGAAATCTCAATTCTAAGCAAAAGTGATTGATAGTGAACTGTTCAATTTCCCTTGATGTACTTTAAGATTTACCGATCAGATTTCTAAATCGAAG